GATTAATTCGATTGATTGATTGTGATATATATATATATATATATGCGATGTATGATGATGGATCAGTAGGATCGTGTGCACCTAGTGTGCTTGATGTTGGTGTATGCATAGCATGATGCATGATGGGATCAGTAGGATCGTGTTGCTCCCTTGAGGAGGGTTGATGGCCAAGTGTCCATCGGTGATTGCAGAGTTGAATCATTGCTCGGATGGAGTGTATGCGATTCACCCATAATCGTGGTAGGGATAGATCATTGCTCTGATGGAGTGTATGCGATCTATCTTGAGATTTGATTATATGTGCTCAGGAGGAGCGTGGTAGGGATAGATCGTTGCTCAGATGGAGTGTATGCGATCTATCCCGAGTTTAAGTCGGTACCGCATGCATGTGTTGAGTTGCATTTGTGCATTATTGTATGCTGTGATTGATGATTGGACAGTAGGTCGTGTATGATGATTTGTGGGGTGATGATGTATTTATTTACTGCCTTTATTTCATGTAAATATTTACCGTTATATTTCGATCATGTTTTCTCACCCCTTTGCTGTTGTTGTGGTCTGTGCTTCTTCGGAAGTACAGATAACCCAGGTGTTTAGCTAGTTGGATAGCGGTGTGCTGATCGAGTCTAGGATTCTCTGATACGTAACACGGGGCTTTGGGGAGTTTATTGCCTATCTGATGATTTTGTTTATACTCCGTGTCGCATCATGTTTTGATGATGGATTCTATTGATGATGTTTTGTATATTTTGGGCTGATGACCGAACTTGATGTATGAGATGATGTGTGTGTGTATGTATGTATGTGTGTGTGTGTGTGTATATATATATATATATATATATATATATATATATATATATATATATATATATATATATATATATATATATATATATATATATATATATATATATATATATATATATATATATATATATATATATATATATATATATATATATATATATATATATATATATATATATATATATATATATATATATATATATATATATATATATATATATATATATATATATATATATATATATATATATATATATATATATATATATATATATATATATATATATATATATATATATATATATATATATATATATATATATATATATATATATATATATATATATATATATATATATATATATATATATATATATATATATATATATATATATATATAATTTTCTTTCCGCTGCTTATTTTAAAAATCTTTTGATAAAATATTTTTGTCGAATTTCTGGTGAAAAGTAATATCCCACTTTTGTAAAGGAGACTCTGACATTTTAATTGGATTTTTCACATTTTATTTAAATTTGGGGAGTGGGGTGTTACAACCAACAAGGACAAGCGCGACGGAAAACAAAGGAAACAGGCCATACCTGGACAACAAGAGTCTTTTGTTTTTTGGTTGGTTGGGTCGAAGTCGGCCCGACAGGAGGAGCCCTCTCATGCACCTGGAAAAATATGAGAAAGTCAGAAAGAAATCTCAAGAAACTCAGCGAAAGCAGACAAAGGCAAAATGAGCTTACCTTTTTAGGGGCATCGACCAAGGGCGCTGAGGGACCAAGAGTCTCGCTCGAAAGAGCAACAAAAGCATTGACCACGTTCTCTAAGAAAAGGTCATGGTCGAAGTGATGCGCTTGATATTCTGACCACCAGAGGTTGAAGCTTTCGATGGAGAAAAATGAGGGCTTGTAACGAAACACAAGCAACTCCAAGTTTTGAGTCGACTGAGCAAACTTAAGACAATTTCTATGACCCGTCTGGTCAAACTTCCCACCATCCCACACGACGTCGTCACGATGACGAACCAGTGGCTTTGGCAACATCTGGCTCAGGCCAAATTGTCGGGCAACCAAATTGGGCTGATAATTTGTAAACTCGTACCCAATGTTGCTCGAGTTGATACGAAACGAAAACATTGTCGGGGTTTAAAAAGCCCTCCAAATGGAGTTAGAGACGACAGTTGTACTAGGGGAAGTCCCAGGGAAGGGGTTCCTGAACCAAGTCGGCCCAAAGATTTGGTGGGCAAAACGGGCCATACGTGGAACGAAGACATTTGCCTCGGCAAACATAGTAAGATATTTCATAAAAAAAGGTCTTGTTGGGAGCCTCCTGCGTAGTCATCAGAGCAAGACAGACTCCCTCCACAGGTCGATCCTCGATCAATCGGTCCATCTTGGCCGACACAATATAGCCTAGTTGGTGTTAAAAAGTGGTATTTAGCTAGTGTTGCAGCAGCCACATGGAGGCTAGGAGAAGCTTGTCCAGGGCCACTTGTCGACTCTCATGAATTTGAACAACCAGGTTTATATAACTCTTTGCTATCTGCAAAGAACCTGGGCAAAAGAGGTAATACAAAAGCCACAAAGTCAGGAAGGCAATGTGTTCCTCGTCAGACACCTCGACTGAATCCGTGTCGTGGTGGTCTTCAATGTAATTCTGAAAACCGGCACGATCAAAGTCGAAAGAAGCCTCTGTCTCGACGGTGGGGTCGAAAGTTTCGCCCACTGGAAAGAGGTCGGTGATAGCCGCCACGTCGAAGAGGGTGGGTGATAGCACCCCACATGGTAACTGGAAGGTGTTTGTCAAACCCTCCCAAAAGAACATGGATGCCAATAGGAGACAAGGATTGACCCTGTGAGTATTCCTCGACAGCTGAATGGCGTCGAAGATGCTAGATTTTTTCCACTGGGCTTGACTTTTATTTTGAACCTTGTTCAGTCAGGCCAAATATTCCTTGTTGCCAGGAGTGGGCATCAAATGAAAGACTCTAGCTTTCGGCGCCATAAACTTCAAGTCAAGTTTCCCACCTTTGCAGAAAGCTGGAGGCATAACTGCAGGAAAGCCAGGAAAGAACGGTTGCATAGCCTCATGGTTGGGCTTGCCAAGAGGGTAGGGACCGTGAAATGCATGAAGCTTGCCAGCCACCCCAAAGGGGATAATCATCTATTTCTTCCAAGCTTCTATAACATTTTCATCAGTGGACGTGGGGTTTTGAAGGGGTTTATGAGCCTCTGCCTCTGACAGAACAAAGACAATGGGGTTGTCGCCGATGGTTTGAGTTGTTTGAGAAGAAGGAGATGCCATTGAGACTGTTGGAGGTTTTGCTGGTATGACTATGGTAGCTGAAAAAGAAAAAGCGCAGAACAAGTGTTGAAAAGAAAAGTTCTAAAATGAGAACTTATGGGGGTATTTGTACTAAGTATTAATGCAGAAGACGAAAGTAAGGGGCTTTTTAATTACCCGTTCGTGGGAGAGGTAATGAGTGGAAGTTGGTAATGACGTGGGGAAGTGGAAAAGAATGATGAGAAGCCTTGGAAGTTGTGAGGAAGAAATGTGTCATCATCACGTCAGGAGACGACTGACACGTGGAAGTTTTGACAACTAGGCCATGATGACGAAAAACCAAGTACTGAATACCTCGAAAGACACTAAGCATCTCAGTCGACAGAAATCTCCGTCGAAACCTAGATCTTTATGGGGCATTTTGTTGGCTGAGAATTAGCCAACTGAGGGCATTGACCTCGACAGAAGTTAGGGGAAGGAAGAATGAAGGTCGACCAAACCCTTGCATAAAAGCCAAAGGCCGACAGCAATAAAACTTGGCAAACACCACACCTTGAGTCGACAACATGAGATAGATTGGTCGACAGGCCCCTGCGTCGATTGACCAAAGATAAAAATCAGCAAAGGTATTCTCGACGAGAGGCGCTAAAGGCTTGGCGGAAAGTCATTTTGAAAAGAGGAACATGGGGGCAGTTTTTTAGAAACGTGAGATGACACGTGGCGCATCCTGAAGCCCCTTGGCAGTTATTTTGTACGCCTATATAAAGCAAGGTTTTCTAGGAAATAAGGGCGTCTTTTGTCAGGATTAGAAGAAAAACACTATGAGTACCGCACTATAGAGAAAAGAGTCTACTTTGTCATTCCAAAATGTATGGATACGTCCAGTTGTCTTCTTCCTTTTATTTTTATTTTTTACTTTAAGTTTACTAAGTATTTAAGACATTTAAAGCACTATTTTCAGAATATTTACAACGTTTCTGTTTCAGCCATTTCTTTATCTTTGTCAACTTTTAGTTATTTAGAGTTTAAACCACTGACACACCACAAAATACATAACCGTCAAAGTGCACCGTAACCCAAGTAAACGATCCACCCAAAACCGAATTGTCCTGGGACTAGTTTGGCCAATCCCACAAGCAAATCTGCGGAAGAAAGCCAGAGATTGTCCGCGCGAAAATCACGTGCGAACAGAGACATCATTAGTAAACTATTTCAGATAATAATTCAATTATGTGATAAGAGATATTTTTCCTCTCATCTAGAAGTCTTAGATATTAACTCAACTCTAAATACACAACAAGATCAAACTCTTTTGAGAAAAACTTTTATTATTCAGTGTGATTTCCCTCCATTCGAATGATTAGTTTTTACGGTTACATGCAAAAGATACTCATTTTACATTTAAAAAAATGAATTAATGAATATAGCAAATCTTAAATAGCACCCCATAAAATGATTTGTAAACTAATTTTATATTAATAATGTATATAAAATAAATATGATCAAAATATCATTAATTTTCTCACTTTGCTTACTATCACTTCACATAAGTCCAAAAGAAAATTACTCACTTTTGGCATCCAAATTCATCGAATAAGGATACACAATCACTTTACCATTAAGTTGTTTTAATTCAAAATCACTATGAAACTTGTAAGTTTAAAATAATACTATTTTTAGTTTTAAATTCTTTATTGTACTTTTATTTTTAGTTTTTAAACTACTCATTATTTGTATATACTATAACTCAAGTTAATATTAATTCACCCTTTATGATTGACAGTTACATTTTTGTAACGTTTTATAACCCATACAAGAACTGTTGGAAATGAGAAAGGAAGAAGGTAAGTAGTTAGCTTTATAGCTTTATCTGGAACTGCTGGTTCTCACACACTCAAGAACCAATGGCCATGCTTGCTTCCTCTTCACCTACCTTGCTCTTCTCTGCAACCTCTTCCAATCTCCTCCCAATTTCAAATTCTTCCACTTCGCGCCTTTCTTTCTCTTCTTCACTACAATCCTCCTCTCTCTCAATCTCCTCAACCTTTTCATCACACCTTTCTTTAACTTCTAAACGTTTTGCTAACCATGCTACCTTCAACATCAGTGCCAGTGCTGCAGAGAAGAAGAAGGTTCTAATCATAAATACCAACAGTGGTGGACATGCTGTGATTGGATTTTACTTTGCAAAAGAGCTTCTTGGTGCTGGACACTCTGTCACCATTCTCACTGTTGGTGATGAAAGCTCAGATAAAATGAAGAAACCTCCTTTTAACAGATTCTCAGTTAATGATCTTTAATCTCATTCTCACTTGGTTGGATTAATCACTTCAATTTGCTCAAAATTATTAGTATCGTGTTTGATGTCTGTTTCGTAGGTGTTAGTATTGTGTTTGATGTCTTTGTCAATGCTTCGTAAGTATTGTGAAATGAACGTTATTTTATTCAAGGTTTAATTTATTGTGGGATATGAAAAATATTCAGGAAATTGTGAGTGCTGGAGGCAGTACAGTATGGGGAAGTCCTGCAGATGTAGGAAGTGTTGTAGGAGGGGAAGCATTTGATGTGGTTTTGGACAACAATGGCAAGGATCTTGATGCTTCAAGGTTCGTTGTATCAATTCTTGTTGTCTTTCGTTCATTGCTTCGTAATGATGTATGCCTAAGCAAGAGCAACATCATGCAACACATACAATTTGTTTACTTATGTATAGCACCGACACTTTAGATCAAAGACGTGTCTGGTATCAGACACATTGTCTGGTATCATATTGGACAACACTTTAGAATTCTGTTGTGTTAATGTCTGTTATGCCAATGTTTCATATTGCTAACAGCATACTGCAATACTGTTAGAATTCTGTTATCGAAACATAAACTTTTCAGACATATGTAGTTGTTATCTCTAAGCCAGATATCCTAATTGCAGTCTTTCATTGTAGGCCGGTGATAGATTGGGCCAAGAGTGCAGGTGCGAAGCAATTCTTGTTCATCAGTAGTGCCGGAATCTACAAACCAACGGATGAGCCTCCTCACGTTGAAGGGGTGTGTTAAATATTCCTATTATAGCATTTCTAAAACCACTATGCTGATAACAATCGTTATAATCTGAAGTTTGAAAACCACTGTGGAGCAGGATGCTGTTAAAGCAGATGCTGGTCATGTTGGAGTTGAGAAGTACATTGAAGAAACTTTTGACAGTTGGGCAGTATTCAGGCCACAGTATATGATAGGGTCTGGAAACAACAAAGACTGTGAGGAATGGTTCTTTGATAGTAAGTCGAAAAATGCTGGAAAAAGCTTTCTTTTACACATTGAATCCGTATGAAGTTTTTAAAAAGAAATGTATATTTTCCACTTGTAGGGATTGTTAGGGACAGACCTGTGCTAATTCCTGGCTCAGGATTGCAACTCACCAACATATCTCATGTTAGAGACTTATCTTCGATGCTAACTCTAGCTGTCGAGAATCCAGATGCTGCGAGTCATAACATTTTCAACATTGTGAGCGACCGTGCAGTGACTCTAAATGGAATAGCCAAACTATGTGCTCAAGCTGCAGGGCACCCTGTTAACATTGTTCATTATGATCCAAAAGCTATTGGAATTGATGCAAAGAAAGCTTTCCCTTTCCGTATTACGGTAGTCACTAGTATCCTATGTTTTAATCTACATTATAACCTCGCTGCATATAATACATGAATATGCCTATAGATGCATCAATGATGTCTCAACTGAAGGAATTCTGCGTCATGGGCATTTTTTAAGTTTCAAATATGTAACTCTCATGGTGTTATTAATATTATTGCGTAACAACTTATATGAACCGTGTATGATGCAGCACTTTTATGCTGAGCCTAGAGCTGCGAAAAGTAAATTGGGATGGAGTTCAACCACAAACCTACCGGAAGATCTAAAAGAACGGTTTGAGGAGTATGTAAAGATTGGGAGAGACAAGAAGACCATACAATTCGAGCTAGATGATAAGATAATAGAGGCCTTGAAAGTTCCAGTTTCTGTCTGATCCATATATGTCCAAAATGTAATATGATCAGATAAAATTGTACTATGATTTATTGTTACACGATTTAATAAATGACGTGCATTAAAGAAAGTTTACTTCTTCTTTATTGACATAAAACTATAATAAAATCCTTATAAATTCAATCACAGATAAATTTAGGCATACAAAGTTTAATATAACATAAAAACAGTGAGGATTGACACAGTGGAGGAAATAGTACCAAGTAAGCTTGGTAGAAGGAAGTATATGAAAGGATGCTAAGATTAGATAACAGGAAATAATGATTTTCCCTTGACAAAATAAAGGCAACAATGTTGACAATGGTTAATAGCAATTTTTATGACAGATGACCAAAATTTCATTGCAACTTATGGTACAACCATCAATCAGGTGGCACTTCACAAGCTGCCGCCATAGGCACAAAATCCCTCACGTTCACACCATTTCACTATGACTGCCAGAAATCAAAGGTAATAATCTGCTTATGGAATCAATTTCAAACATAAGCACAATCAAGCAATCAAAGGTAATAATCTGCTAATGGATTCAATTTCAAACATGAGTATGATCAAGCAATCAAAGATATAATCTGCTATCGGAATTAATTTCAAACATAAGCACGACCAAGCAATCAAAGGCTAGCAGCAAAAGGCATAATAAAGCCCAAAACTTTCTACTGCTAAATATCATTTGCCAGATATATTAAGAACATATATCTAGTAAACAAAAAAAAGACAAGTTATGGAATCAAAATCTAAAATACAACGATTAACACTAGCTGCTCAATATGAAACAAGTATGTCTATTGATAATAATCATTGGCCTATAAATTAATTGAAATAGGGATTGAATGCTAGAGTCATTTGAATCTTCTTAAATCTCAAGGCCTTTCAGTTTTGATTCCAATTCATCCTCCTCAGAACCTTTATCAGCCTCGTCATCAATATCCTCTCCTTCAGGATCATTCTCATCCAAAGGACCCAGCAAATCAGGTGAGTTTTTAAATATATTTTTCAACTCATCAATTCCTTCTTCAGAAATAAAGTTAGCATTGATATTTAGCAACTTAAATCCAGGTTTCTGAACAACAGCTTCAGCCACCACTTTAGCTCCCGACCATGTGATCAAATTTGTACTAAGATCAACTTCATTCAACTGGCCATGACCTTCTTCCAATGCCTTGATGATTATAACTGCACCTTCATCCTTCAATTCATTCTCAGATAAATTTAACTTGGTGAGGAACTGCTTTGAGGATATACAAGCAGCCACAGAAACAGCAGCTTTTGCAGTAATGTCATTTCCAGCCATATCCAAAATTTCCAGTGACGGTGCAGATTCCTTCAGAGCATTAGCAAGGGCTTCTGCACCATCATCCTCTAAGTTCAAATAACTGAGGTATATCTCTGTAAGTCCAACAAACGCGGGTATAACTTTACTTAGAGCAAGTCCAGCTTCCACACCAAACATGTTGTCACGCAAATCAAGCTTCTTCAAGTGTGTGCATGCTCCAAGTGCTTCAGCAACAGCAACCCCACCTTCAGAGCCTACTCTGGTAGATGAACACCGAAAATCCTCCAAAGCTAGGGAACGTTTCACAACCTCAGCAATTGCAAATGCTCCTTCATCTCCAGTCATGTTATTATGGAAATGAAGAATCTTAAGCTTCTCAGTGGAAGGAATCAATTCAGCAACTGCTTTTGCAGCTTCCTCTGATATACCATCATTCATTAAATAAAGTTCCTCCAACTCTTTTTGTGATTTTAGAAGTGACCGAAATGCTCTAACCCCTTTCTCGCCCATGGCATTATTTGACAGGTTAAGATATCTTAAAACAGAACCTTCTAGTGCAGAAGAAAATATATTCATCACCTCAATCGCTTCTGCCTCTGGTCTCCCAGCAATAAAATCTGACAAATCTACCTCTTTCAGTTGATCTTTAATTGATATCAAAATGGGTTCAGCAACATGAGCAGCATCCAAACCAAAACTTCTATTGCTAAAACATATCTTCGTAAACGAGTTTGGTCCCATCAATGGTTTCAAAAGTTCAGAAGCTTCCTCCTTTTCAATAAAAGCTCTACGACCCCCAGATATGTCAAAAAAGGTTTCAACACCAGCATCACCCTTTTCAGATATCAACTCTTGATCCTCCTTCACTCTCGGCCCTCTTTTCAAAACCTCCAACATAAGCCTACTCGATTCCTTAGCATAAATCTGCACAGCAGAACTCCCATCACCATCAGGTTCCTCTTCAAAATGTTGAGTCGCAGTCACAAAAGCCGCTTCCTCAATTTCCTTAGCATCCTCCCCAGCTTCTTCCTTACTGAGAAGTCCATATTTTCTAGAGAAAATAGAGGGAGTCGTAAGGTTCCTCGTCATCCGTTCAACCAACATCAACCTAGTACTCTGGCTAGGCGGCCACAATTTGATCGAAAGTGATCGATGTTGGTATGACGGTACTGTAGATTCCATATCAACAGAACCTAGAAACAAATATGATAACAACAACATTAACTTTTGATACATATTAACAAATACAACATACAACAGCAACATGGATCAACTGTAGTCATACAATTCTATCAAGAATCGTGTTCTATGCAAATCGTTAATAGGGTTTAGGGTTTTCAAAAAACTTAACGAAAGATAGAGAATTTTACAGATGACTAAACTAACAAGAACTAGTGCAGTATGGGAAAAAGAAAACCCTAAAACTGGAATCGGAGAATAAAAGAAACGATGGAACGGATCTGGTACCTGATGGAGAATGCAGTGAGGAAGAGGGAAAATTGAAAACCCTAGTTGAAGATAAGTCTGCAGCAGCAACAGAGAGAATAAAAAGAAGATTTTTGAAATGATGACAATTAGTTGGAGCCTTTTTATGGTTTTAGTCGGAGGGGGAAAATAAAAAATTAAGTTAATGTTTTTGTTTGAAAAATAAAAAATAAATAAAAAATGTTGGGATATGGGAAAGCGTGCGCGTGGAAAAACGGGAGGGAAATGATTGAAAATGAAAAAATGGTATGCGATGGAATTGGATCAAATACAGCATTTTCTTAAGGGTAATGTTAACTTGTGCCTTTGGGGCACATGTTAAGGAAATCACTTTTAGTAAATTTGTATTGAAAAACACAATTTAAAAATTAATTTTATACTTTAATTTAAGTTTGTATACAATTTTCAAGATGATATTTCTTAATTTAGTTCTTAACATGTGCCCCAAGGGCACAAGTTAACATTACCCTTTTCTTAAAACGCCACCATTGAATTGAAACCTCAAGCGTGGATTTTCCGCTTACTTGATAGTTGATACTTGATGTGTGAAGTGAAATGACAATTGAAGCATTGTTTGGCCGAAATATTTTTTCATCAATGACGTCACTCAAACCTTAATTATGATGCAGCAACTTTATCTGGGCCTATATGTGGGCTTGGAAAGTCTTCTAAAAGAGATTTTTTAATGCATCATAATATATATATATATATATATATATATATATATATATATATATATATATATATATATATATATATATATATTATTAAAATGTCACGTGATAGAAAAATGTTTTCAGATTTTAGAGATATATTTTTGGATGCATTTCAAATATACATGATCTACGTTAATTTTGAGTGACATTTTAGGAATGTGTTTTTTTCTGATCCGAAAATGCATATTTAGAATATTGTAGATGCATCACTGATGTATACTGAAACAGAAGTAATGTCGGTTTGAGTCCGCATCTCTTTCTTGTGTTCCAATGCATATTCCTACATAATTTTCAAAAGCTCCAAATACTAGCTTTCACATTGATGCGGTCTTTTGACATGATTTTTCTAAACGTGTTGTTTTTTCAAACGTATAAGTATAAAACTATAAAGTTGTATTTTGACAAAATAAAATTATCATTCATAATATAAAATTTGCATTACATTGGTGATATTAACATAAAATTAGACATTACATTTTAATATTCAGGTGGACGATTCAACGTCTTCACAATATATTCGACCGATCTTGAAATCGTTGCTTCCACCTCGATTAGAATTTTTGTTTAGAATTGTATTCCACATGGTCCTTACATCTGCATTTGTCTTAAGTTCATAGTTGTTGAACTCAATCTTACATTCGTTGTTAATTGACAGTGAACGATACTCGAGATTTACAATTTTTCGATTATCTCTGTCTTAAGCTCATAGTTGTTGAACTCAATCTTACATTCATTGTTAATTGACGGTGAACGATACTCGAGATTTACAATTTTTTGATTATCTACGTAAGGTAGGAGATTATGCACTTTGTATTGCATTAAAGAGGTGTACTCATTAATCTTAAACTTTCGCATGTGTGTCGCGCTGGAAAATGAGACATTTGCGACATACCATATGGTGTTTATTTATGACATTTGCGACATTCTCTGTTTATATGTAATAAAAAAACAAGAGCCTAAATTTATAGAAGTTGTAGACAAAAATGGATATCGAAAATTCTATCATGTATCATTGGTGGTTTCGGAGATATATTTTCGGTTACACCCTATCATCTTATTCTAAAGATGCATCTCGGGAACCTCTCCAGAACCAGATATAATACAAAGTATTTGTGTGTTTGTTTGGAAATGAATAATTTTTTTGGCAAACATCAAAATATATTAAAATATTTGAAATTGTATATATTACACTTTATTAACATTAATATACAATTACATACACTTACTTGATGACGAAAAACTAAAACGAATCGAAATATTTGTTGCCGGTTAAATATGTAAGCATGGGTGGTACCCCCATTGACTTTTGTGCATTTGGTTCTCTTTCAATGTTGCTCAATTTAGTGAACTCTTGCATCCTTTCCACAAATCGGATCGACCAAGTCTCAACTTTTATTGTTGAATGAGTCTTCTATTCCACTGATGTAAGTGGTATAAGGCATCCCGATTTCAAATAAACTTGAATAAAGTGTCTTTATTTTGAAAGCCTCCTAAAACATATAATAT